GTTGGTATGTAGGGATCAGATTCCCAACGGCTGTATCGTAAGGACCTTGCAGCTCGGTAAGCACGATGCAACTAAGCCTGATAGTGTACATTGACAGAGAGCACAGCAGACGCTGTGTGACTGGAGGATTTACGGGATGGCTTCTTCAGGCCATTCGTATTCAGCCGGGTAAACGGCTGTGGCGCCCGCTGCTCACATATGCAGGCTGGAGGCACGGGACGGGACGGTGGCTAGCTGCTCAACGCAGGTCGTAAGCATGGAATCCCTGTATTTACAAGGCATCCAAGTTCTGGCCTTCATTAAGTCAGCATGATGCGCGTGGGGGTGTGTCTTACAAGCGCGAACTTGTGCATCAGCGCTGCACGATTACCTGCCGTCATGCGTACTAGACCTTGATCGGCTGGGAAGAGAGAATTAATCGCCAGATGTATTATGTAGGCATGACCAGACCTTTCCAAAAGGCGATGAAGACTTTGGTCCAGAAGGTGAATTGATGACTTGGGAATGATAGGGCTTAGTCTGACTTACCTTAGGCTGTCGTTTACGCTCGTAATATTGAATATGTTGATCATGTACAATAATTAGGAAACGCCTGGGCCTACGCTGCGGCTTGCCGTCTAGTTGAGAAGCTGTTGTCCAAAACATCGCCATTGTGAAAACAGACAGAAACTTTACATCAGCTACTAACTCAGACAACATCATCTTGACTTTGATCTCCAGGACGGGGTCATAGATACAACATTGATGGAGGGCTTTAACGAATCGAGTCAAAGGCCATTGGTCAACCTATTCCAGCCTGACTTCGGCTTTGTGACCACAGCTTCAGCCACAGCTCTCGTGATTTTTATCGGTTATGTCATAAGGATCGGCATCTATCGACTCTACTTCAGCCCTATTGCCAAGTTCCCTGGCCCCAAGCTAGCCGCCCTGACCGGCCTGTACGAAGCATACTTCGATCTCGTCCCTAAAGGCGGTGGGCAGTTTCCCTTCGCCATCAAACGCATGCACGAGAAATATGGACCTATCGTGCGCATCAACCCCGATGAGCTGCACATCGACGATCCTGACTTCTTCGACACGCTGTATCCGACAAGCAAACCATATGATAAGCTCAAACGGCTCGAGAACCGCTTCGGGATCCCTGGCGCGACGTTCAGCACAGCCCGCCATGAGCTGCACAAGATACGCCGCGCAGCCATCAGCCCCTTCTTTGCAAAGTCCAAGGTGCGCGAGCAGACGGGCGATATTCAAGCACTGATGAACACTATCTCGCGTCGTCTCACAACCGAATATGCTGGTACCGGGCGTGTGCTCAATCTCCATGACGTCTGGCGCTGCTTCGCCGCCGACAACATCATGGACCTCGTCTTTGGTTCGCCGTTGGACTTACATTTGTCCCCGGACTTTCGCGCTCCTTTCACGGGATCCATCACGCGGGTGACCAACTGGTCCCATGTCACCCGCTACCTGCCAATCCTGGGGGCGGCAACTGATAGTCTGCCGTATTGGCTGGCGAAACGGCTTTTCCCACCGTTTGAACCCATCATCGCGTACCGGGAGGTAAGTCACAAAAGTTCTTCGCTTCGATTTACCCTTGGTCTACTGGATTCTGACCTTGAATCACCAGGAAATGTCCCGACAAACCGCCACCATCCGCGCTAGCCATCAAGCCACTGGGGGCAATGAGAAGCCCCGCCTGGGGCAGACCGGTCATGCAACTGTTTTCCATGAGATGCTAGCCTCCAGCCTCCCTAGTGAGGAACTAGAACACAAGCGCATGCAGCATGAGGCCGAATCACTTATTGGTGCCGGGCTTGAGACCACTGCCTGGACGCTTGCTCTGGGCAGCTTCTACATCTTGCACAGTCCTGAAGTCTACGCCAAGTTGCAATCTGAGCTGACAATCGCCATACCAGACGTGACTCAGATTCCCCCGTGGGCCACCTTGGAAACACTCCCCTACCTCACCGCGATCGTCAAGGAGAGTACGTTTACCTGTCCCTCGAGAGCCTCATCATCTTCTTCACATGGAAATCCGTCATGCTGATTCATCTGTAGCTTTGAGAATGGGCATGGGCGTCATCGAACGTTTAGTCCGCATCAACCGTAACCCAGCAAACCCCTGGGTTTACAAAGGCACCGTCATTCCGGCCAACGTCGCCGTCAGCATGGATCAATACCATATGCTGATGAATGAGCGCGTCTTCCCAGACCCGACCGCCTTCCGACCGGAACGCTGGCTTGGCGACCCCCGCGGACCAGATGGTATACACCCGCTCACCCACTACATGACCGTCTTCGGTCGCGGCACGCGAATGTGCCTCGGCCTGAACCTGGCGTACTCGGAGCTGTATATGGGGTTCGCCACACTGATCCGAAGACATAAGCTACGACTGGTTGATACTTCTGTACGGGATGTGGCATTTTATGCAGAGAACACAATCTTATCACTATGGCCTGGAACTCAAGGGATTCGGGTGTTTGTGGATAGCTAGAGTCTCAGCAATGGGTACATTATCAGGTGTTGCGCTAAGCTGGTGCAGATCCGACGATTTGGCGCATCCATGGAGGCTAGCCTGGATTGAGGGTTTTCGTTACATTGTTACATTGATGATCGCCTAGAAAATTACTTCGGGAATGGGACCAACTTGAATAGATGAGGGAATGCGCTATGAGACTTAACGAGTTTTGTTTGAGCTGACAGAATTCGAGATATTATAGCAACTCGGTGTTCTATTTCTAATAGCCATAAAATTGATAGTACTCTTTTGCAGTCGGGATAACACTTATGTATCATCAACAAATTTAAATGTTGCTCAGGTAGGCGACCCGTCTTCGATAGTCAGTGCACCTAATCATACATATTCACATTTCATCATGTCTCATAATTCTGATAGGAATTTGAAATAAGCCAATGTTTGCTTCATACGCTTATCTTTTGGCTTGTGCCTTCCGTTGGTCGCAGAATGAGCGTCCAGTCACGTTGCGGCAGAAGCTTGTCAGACCACGTACGTTCGACAATACCCCAATCCCGAAGTGCCAGCTCTCACCCCGCCGTCTGGCCTGCACAGGCGCAGGAAAAGTCACAGAACAATTCCAATCACCTGATTTGACGTGGTCCAGGCATTTCCAGGTTGCAACACCAGCTGCCCAAGCTGCTGATCTGCTCCTCCCGACCCCGCGTCATCATGGAAGCCTTAACCCCCGACAGAACTACGACTCCTATCTTTCAACTACTACAAGCCATTTCCTCCGGCCAGTTCTACCATCATCAGTGTCATTTCATCTCGCAGAGATGGATGATGACGGTATGGTCCCGACGCCCCCGGCGTCCGCTGGAGCCTCTCCAAAGGATTTCGATTTCAGCGCGGAGACTTTGGGAGGTCTTCTTATCTCGTGTGGCAAAATGGGTTGCTGTTAATCATAACCTAACGTCGCGACAGTCCCAGTATCCCGCTGTCAAGCACGCAGCGCTTCCAGCCGATGGCGCAGGCCACGATACCTTTTCCTTCAAGCACCTCGTGCTCCTCCTCTTCCTCGCTCCTGCTTTTGCGACATGGAAATTATGCGGAGGATACAACACCTTGGTAATCGCTCTATTCACCCTCCACAAGGAAAGTCGTACCTTTGAATCTCAAATCCGGCCTCCTCGAGAGAAGTCACGTACCTCCCCAAGTCCCACCCCATCGTCATCCAAGGAATGACATGCCTCTTCAAGAACAACCCCCAGACAAGATCCTCGTATTGCCACGCACGTCTCGACGCGGTGATCTCGACATGGAAGACCCCATCATCCGCAAGCATCTCATAGCAGCGTTCAAAGAACCCGCTCACTTTCAAATCCTCCTGCCCAGATGACTGCACACGTACGATTTTGTCATATTGTTCGTCGGGACCCTCATACTCCCGACTGCATATACGGCTTTGGGTTTCAGATATCTCTGCAGATTGAGGCGCCAGTTTCCCAAATCAGCTTGATACGGGTCGATCGTCAGCCCAGTCGCGAGGGCACCGTAATTGACGCTGGCGAAGGTTACGAGGGAGCCCCATCCGCAACCGATATCGAGAAGCCGATCTCCTGATGTCAGGTTGATCTTTTCGCAGACCGCAGCAAGCTTGTTGTCTTGGAGCTCTTCAAGCGATTCCTCGATGCTCATGTCCGATATGATGTTCACTGGGCCAAAGGTCATGCTTACAAACGACAGCCTCGACAACATCGGGCTGCATTATTCAGCCACCTTGTGGAGGTGGTATAAGAATTGGACGGGCAATCGTGACAAGATCACAGCCAAGTACGGTGAAAAGTCATACCGGGTAAGTCTCGCGCAAGCATCGTCCCACTTTATCCGCAATATAACATGCTCAAGTATTTAGATCTGGGAGTACTTCCTTGCGATGGCGACCATCATATTTCGGCAAGGAACCATGGGTCGTTACCAGATTACGCTGGTGAAGAATCTCAATGGAGTCCACCGTGCGGGTTTACAGCAGACCCGGTTTTCTGTGGCTGAGGCGATGGCCACCAGCAGAGCAGCAGGGAAAAACAGGTTCCCTATTTGATATTCGGACTCGAGTCGAAGATACTGACGGTACGAACCGATCACTCCATAAGTAATAAGTAATCTGCGAGGCTTCTTTTGGGTGTTATAATTTGCAAGCGTTGTTGCTTTATGCTGGAACAGTGGAAATAAGCGAGGGTATGTTTGTATTCGACCTGGAATTAGTTACGGGTGCACATGGATAAGCCATGTTCAAACTGTTCAATCTCACAATACCGTAACTGAGGAAAATGTTAACCTATACTGCGGAGTCAACGTGACCCTGATTAACAGGGTTAATAAGGTCTCATCCCTGTAGAGACATGAACACAAACACTATGCGACTGCTGAACCAGCCTGTGTGGGTACGACCTTCTTTGTACTCATATTCCCTGGATTTAATGCAGGATTGACGGCGTGGCATGAAAACGAGTGGGCGCTAGCCACGATCGGCAAAAACGATGGACACTGTGGGAATTGAACCCACGACCTTTCACAATGCGCATCGCCGTTACCGACGAAGATGCGAAGCGAAAATCATACCCCTAGACCAAGCGCCCGTTGTTAGGAATACTGATTTTCTGTCTTTCTTGAACCTGTGCGTCTCCCAGCTGGCGCTGAACGTATCTTCCTCTCCCTTCAGGGCCCTAGGATTAGTCCTCCTTCCAAATCGATTCAATCCCCAATCTCCCGTTTTCTAGCCGCGGCTACTATGCTGCAACGCAGTGTAGTTGCGTCTGCAAACGTCACTTGCTATCATCATGCTTGATCTTGCATATACACGCCTTTGTCTCTGGGATGAAACCGTGGTAGTTAAGAGTATCTATTAGAAACATTTTATACAGAGGCCTAATTATACATAGCATGTGAGAATCATGCCTATTGAAACATCTCATGCCGGTGTTGCTATCTCACAAGCAGTGATCCGGGTTGGTATCCGACGGATTTCCCCACCACGTTGGGAACGGGTGCGGGTTGCCACTTGCACCAAACACTGCGAACGACAGGATGAAGATGATAAGTTGGGATCCTCCGTCCAGCGCAGCCCCAATGAGGTAGTTGTACTTGTTGTAGATTCGCGGTCTTCTGCGACGGAGCCAGAACTGAGAGAAGATGCCCACTGCGATGGAAGACCAGATCCACGACGTATTACCGAAGAATGTACCACCAGCAGATGCAATGATAATGGTTGTGTTGATTGGCCAATCCTTGATTCGAGGAACCAGTTTGATTAGACCCCAGTGCAGAATCGGGAGGGCTGCGCCGATGAGGAGCCCTAGGGGAACGACGAAATAGCGACCTCTTGGGCCGTACATCTCTTTCGCGAGCGCCCACGTAATGGCTTGAGAGTTCAGACTCTGCATAGAAGAACCGCTCCAGACGATAGTACCAATGGGGTCGAGGAGAACCTCCCGTTGGTTCGTCACAATTGTGGTCATCACAGCGTAGTTCAACGCAGCACCAAGCAAAGTGCCGTAGATCTGGGTGCAGAACATAACGCGATGCGGGACCTTGGTGTATTGACCCACCTTCAGCCAGTTGGCGAGGCTTACGGCGAGAAGGATAACTTGATGGGACCAACTTGCGAAGAAGAGATTTGCGAGGGGTCTACCAGGGTGGAGAAAGCCAGCAAACATTTTGGAGAGTTGGTTGGTGCTGACTCCGCTTCCGAAGAGGCCGTTGAGAATGCATGAAAACGGTGCAATGATGGTTCCAAGAAGCAGTGCGACTATGTAGCCCCACCAAGGCAACGTTGTCTCGCCGATGATGTTGACAACCAAACCGGCAATGAAGGTGAGGCCGAAGAGAGCGAGGTACCACCACATTGGAGTCTCTTTATATTTCAGCATTGCCTGGTAGTGAATGTCAGGTTGAGTCTGGGTACGAGCACTCTTCCACGCTTCTTTCATATCTTTTCCATAGAAGATGATGACGTGGGTAATCAGCGCGCCAATCGCCATGCTGGCAGTGAGATAGCCCCAGACCGTACTAGACGACAGATTTGGCAGGCCAGCCTGGTCGACCTTGCCGTAGTCGATGATCCCACGGTCGTTCAGTACCGACGTCGTCGCCCATCTAGTGCCGTTATTGGCGAAGAGGGATGTAGACATAAAGGGGAATGACTTGGCACTCCAGGTGTTGCTGTAGAAGAGTGCTGGCATAACGATGTACCATATGGCATAACCGATCCATGAATTCACCTGTTGCTTGAAAGGGAGCGCAAGATACGTGCTTTGAATATACTGCCAATCCAGCGAGAAGTTGAGCAAGCCCATGCCTTCGTTCGAAGATGCTCCGCCGAAGATGGTTGTGATGACGGTGCGAGTATTGGTCGGCGCGCCCATGGACGCGAGGCAGAATATGGAAATGCCGCCAAACCAGGTCACCATGTAAGCTGGAAAAAGCTCCCACACAGCGGCGATTCCCATAGCAATGCCGAACTTCCTTAGGCGGTCGCGGTTGGCGATGCGGTCGAAATGCAGGTTTTGGAAGAGGACTACCTGGGGAAGAGTGCCCCAGTAGACCATCTCGCCCGGGTACACGACCAATGGGCGAAGAAGGCCGGCGAGGACGAAGCCGCAGAGAGAGATTGAGAAGGTGGCTAGTACCACAGTAGTGGCCGTGACTTCGCGGTCATAGAAGAGGCGCTCCACAGCGTAGATCTCGATTCCGGACAATCCATTATTGCCGGAAGACGCGATAAGAGATGCAACAACGTGTTCTTTAATGCCAAATGGTTGACCGGAGTTGGTAAATCGAAGGACTTTCTGCAGCAGAGGCCATTTAAAACAATCCGGCCGCGGCGTTGCTAGGGCCCAGGCCTCGCCAAATATGAACACCAAGAGTTGCAGAAAAACTGCAGAAACTGCCATTTGAGTCGGCTTGAACGTATAGAGCATCGTGATAACGCTGGCGAGGGCGGTAAGTGCGGTACCGAGGACGATGGAGCGAAACGTCAAGGCAGGGTCGCCGTCGTCGCGAACCGATACCACGAACTTGGACACATCAGCTCCTGTTTAATCATGTTAGATCTAGCGACCATGAACACTTCTTGGAGGAAATTTTACCAGTGCGAATGACCGGATAACCGTTGACATATTCAACATCATCATTCACCAGCGCGTCTCCCGACTTCGCTTTTTCATCATCGCTCGTTGAAGCCTCAGACAGCGTTCCAGTGACGGCGGTTTCGAGAGCGCGCTTGTTCGAGTCGTCGATAACTTTATCGCCCGGCGACAGTTCCTTTGGGTTCGACATCTCTCAGGCACGACGACCGCAGAGCGAGAACGACAGAAAAGAGCGCCAAAGAGCGCTGAGGTTGCAGTATCGAACAGAAGAGGGTAGTGGAAGTTCTATTCGTTACTACCACGTGGTGATGTTACTGCGATGGCAACATTCGATGCGGGGATGTTTGCAGCACATTTAGAATGATTTAACTTTGTATGATCGACTCGATGTAAATGGGCATGGAGTAAGCAAAGACAAAGGCCGCACGGTCAGCGGCTCACAATCGTCCATCATGGCTTCCACGGCACTGACTCTTGAGGGCAGGGATGATGCTGGAGGTTTTAGCCAACCCCATGACGTTTATTGTTCTTGTTTCTGCCAGTGCGTTCATATCAGGAAACAATCTAGTTGCAAGCCGAAGTCGTCGGATCTCCTTAGCCTCTCATGTTATGATGAAACTGAAAAGTTAAAAGCGTCCAGTGAGGCAACACCGTCAAGCTGAAACTCGTCGCCGACACGGCCGCTTGCAACGCCGAGATATCTGAGATAAAAAGGACTGTTAACAATCATTACAGAGGTAGTAATGTTCATAGTCAGGTGACCTCCGTCAGTCAACCCAAATTCAACCAACAGCCCAGATGTCGAGTTTGCTAGTCCATCTCCCCACGTGGTGACCCCCACAGAATCAGATGCACAGCTGGAGAGTAGGACGGTCCCATTCTTCGATACAAAACCCGACCGATGGGTATCGCCGATTGGGGAACGCACATCGATCCAAACCATGGAGTACGGGCCGTTGCGCGCGTGTCCCCAATGCCAAGATCCCACTGCTTGTGTAAATGGCACCGAACCCCAGTTCTTGTCATGATAACCAGATCCGGAGAAATTCAGAGTCGCATCTCCAAGCTTGAAGTTAGCAATTGCGGAAGCGTCCGGCTGTGGATTCGACCAGCCGACACCGGGAAGAACCTGTTGCTCGGCGCCGGGCGCATTCAATCCACAAGGGTATCTCGACGGCAAAGTCTAGAGAAAGATTAGCCATAGGAGACTCGGGAGGAAGTTCAATAACCTGGACGAACCGATCGCAATGATAAACTTCCGTAGACTCCATATTCGGGAGAGCTGAGAATGACTTTGAACGATGTTTCGTTCGAGTCCAGGCCTCGGCCGCCAAAAGAGGCATTGGCGCCTCCCCATGCCCCGTTGATCTCGTCCTTGTCTTCACTCTCGATTACGAGCGCTCCATCGGAGGCAGGAATTGTGTGGTTGAATGCGCTGCCATTGGCGAAACTTCCAGATACGATGACAGACATCGGCCCGCCCGTGTCGGAGGAAGGGAATGCCGTCGAGCTGGCCATTAAGAACACGATCGATATCGACTCGTTCGATGAGGTAGAGACTGCGTCAAAGTACCACCTGTTTTCAATCAATTTGCCAGTATGATTTGAAGACTAGGGGAAAGGGGATGGGATCTTGAGGCCAGGGGTTTCTTCCATACCAATCATATGTCGTTGCATTCGGGCCTGGGTTGAGTCGCGGGCCGTCGGGACTAGTCGACGCGAAATCCACGTGAACATCGCCAGACTGAAGTTCGTTCGGGAAGAAAGTCTGTTGGCTTGCAGCTATTCCGACAGAAATCGCGGCGATCACCACATCATATAGAAGACTTTTCATCTTTGTCGCTGCTGCTTGACTTCTCTCCCGATGGATCGTAGCACTGGAAGCGCATGGGAGAGGAATGGCGATTTACGAATAGCTACTGACCGGAACAAATGGTCGTCGAAATGAGCTTGGAAAGGGGATTGCCCGTTAATGATGCGTTTATAACGATGGAGCCATCCGTAACCGGTGGCCTCAACTACGACGCTATCGTGGTAATCGGCTTTGCAGCTCTGGCCATCGCAATTTAGTAAGGTTTGGACCGCTTCGTACGGACTTGCTGGCTCTCCGTCGTCCACCCCGAGACGCTTTTCACGATCCTCCCAGATCTTGAGAAGGCCCATTTTGTAGGTGGGTAACTTCGTCCCGAGGACTAGGTACGTCAGGTTTGATCTGTAAAGGCCTTGCACGGACAAAACCCACCGCCATAGGTACTTCGCATAACCAGAAGCAATATCGTCAGTCCAATCAGATGAAGATCTTCATTTACCCAAGAGCTGGATTCTTTTTGGAACTGGTGGAGCACGATGTCAATTCCGAGCTTTGCAGTACACTCGGCGAAACCTAGCCGAATCTGGCAACAACTTCCCGCGATGATTGTCCCGGGGAGATAGGAGGCCCATTCAATAGTGCCGCGCAGCCACGCATGAGCTTTCAACATCGGCATTTCTCC